ACAAAAAAAAAAAAAAAAAAGAAAAAGAAAAGAAATGACATATCCGCACAATCAAGCAATTACACTCATAGGGGTGCACTCCACAAAATGAGTGTACCAATACACAAGTCCACAGCAGCATTATTCTTGAGAGCCAGAAAATGCAAATAACCCAACACTCAGACCGATGAACCTATACACAAAAAGTGCTCCAGCCACACAAGGGAATGTCACATGGCTATGAAAAGAAGACGCCTTGGTACGGGCTATGACCTGGAGGGAAAGCCAGACGTGAGGGACCACAGACTGCCTGATTTCCACTCTGAAATATCCAGAACAGCCACAGAGACAGAAGGCAGGTCAGCAGTTATCAGGTGCTAGGAGAGGATTAAGGAGCTTATTGGGGTGGGGTGGGATAAAAATGTCCAAAAGTGCATAGCGGTAGTTAGGGCACAATCACCTAGTGAATGTACCAGGAACCACGGGCTAGTAGACTTTACAGGGTGGCTTTCTTGGTATGTGCAGTATGCTTCAACTGAAGCAGAACGAAAAGCGGACACCTTCTTCTCTCAGGTCCTCCATTACAGTGAGGGAGGGAGACAGCACAAGCTCAGGGGCTGACCCTGTCGGGTGGAGGATGGAGGTAGAGGCCACTTATGCTTGACCTGCAGTCCCAGCGAGCAGGGGCCAGATCGCTCAGTCAGTGCTGCTTGGAGTCTGGACTCCTGGACCCAACATACCTGAACACGGAGAACATATGGGGGCTCTTGGTCCCCAACATGCCTAAACATGGGAAACACAGTGGGGCTCCAGGACCCCAATGCATAAATACACTAGGACTCCCAGATCCCAACATGGCTAAACACAGGAAACACTCTGAGGGACCAGACGTGACGGTGCACACCTGTAATCCTAGCACTTGGGAGGACAGCTGTGTGTAATAGGCCAGCCAGGGCTACACAGTGAGATTGTCTCAAAAAACAAAGAAACACATCAGGGGCTAACAGGCTGCCACCGCAGTAAGACCTGCTTCTAGCTGGCCTCCCACCCTTGTACCAGTCCTATTTTGAAGTAGTACAAGACCCCAGGATGGGAGACCAGGCCAGTCCCCACCAAAAGCCTCACGTCCTGGGCTCCATCCTATGTCCCTGGAGTGCCAGCCCCTCTTGTCGCTTGACAGTAACACCTAAACACCACTTTAATTGGTCACCCTTGTCTAAGACTAAATCCCTTTATCCTTACCTTATTCACAGTACTTTAAAAAAATCAACCTGACCTTATACATAGCCCTAGATTTCCCTCTTTGATAACTACGTCCTGCCTGGCATTCAGAGTCTCTCCTTTACCAAACAGCTGTTGGGCATGTATTACTCAGAAGGTCCTCGGAACAGCATGTAACATCTCGTACCCATGCCTGGGGCTATGTCCAGAGGCACCGAAGTTTGATCTGTACTGGGCTGAAAGGCTTCTTCTGTTGGCATCAGCAAAGGAGCCAGTGTGGCCAAGAGCCCTGGTTGCTTTTTATCATCTATTAATGTCTTGGGATCACACCAAGCCTAGAGAGATTAGTGTTTTCCTTTTTATCCTTTTTCCCATGTAGAAAACCTTCCTCAGCCAAAAGAGTGGCTGCTGGGGCTTCGCCAAGACCCCAACCAGAGGGCAGATAGTTGAAGAGTTGAAGGCTGATGAGAGAGGAGCTCTCCCCTGTCTTGGGAGAGGGTCATTCCCACCGCAGACAGGGTCACCAGAGACCCTCAGGAAGCCCCTTCCCCTCCTGGCAGAGGGTGGCATGTGTGAGGCCCTGAGAGACAAGCACCTGCTCATAAGACTGTTGAGCTCCACGGAAAAAAATGGACACAGTTTTGTTCAAAAGAAGCACCAAGACTTGTACACTTCACAGGCATCTGGAGAAAAAAGGACGAGGTACAGGTTGTGTGTCCCTAATGTGAAAATCCAAAATCTAAAATCTGAAACTTTTAGAGAGTCACACTGGTGTCCAAAGAGTGTCAGATTTCTGAGCGTTTCAGAGTTCAGAAATCATGCTCAACCAGCAAAGTGTATACAAATATTGCCAAATCCGGAAAACTCCGAGTCCAGCCTCAAATATTTTAGATAAAGGACACTCACTCTGTCGTGTCCTCCAATTCCTTTGCAAGTTTACTGCGGGAATTTCGGACACACACCACTTGCAGCCCCCTGGCTGTGACTCCACACGGGCTCTGACGTAGGTCCATTTTATTCTGCTTCCTTTATTAGAGCAGCAGAGAAGTAAAGACTGCGAAAAGGTAGCTTTATATTCACTGTGAATCTCAGCGAAGCTTGTTGCTTTCAAAATAACTACCCGCCTCATCTACAAGAGCGAACACAGTACTTTCGGTGTCAAGTTCACTGCTGTTAATTCTGGACTTTGGCAATTTCTTTAAACAAGAACCTGACAGGTGAGTTAAGGAAGCAAAACTTTCAAGTTTTCATGCCAAATATGAAACAGTTCCACTGGCTCAGAGTGTAGGCAAATTAGAAAATAAACACTGGCAGGAGTCAATCCAGTCCACACTACATTTTTTTTTTCTCTTTTTCAGGGTCTCTACTGCTGAGCAGCATTCACAGCTTGGTCCTATATTTTCAAATGCTGGGGAAAAGGTAATAGGGTTTTTTTTGTATTTTGGTGTTTTTTTGGTACCAGGGATTGAACTCAGGTCCTGTGCTTGTGAGGCAGGCGGCAGAACCACTGAGCTAAATCCCTGGATAATGGGGGTTTGAATCAGGCAAGGTGGTATACACTTGTAATACTAGCTCCTTAGGAGGCTGAGACAGGAGGATCAAAAGTTGAGGTCAACCTAGGCCACTTAGTGAGACTCTGTCTCAAAATAAAATTCAAAATTAAAAAAAAATTAAAAAAAAAGATGACAGGGGTTTCATGGATTTTAGATAACCTGGTAATTTTAAGAATTAAAATGATGTTTTCAGTAAAAGATATACTGCCTTTTTATAAACCAAGATTTTATCAAGCCTGTTTCCATTTTGTCTGAGACTAGATAGGCAGAAAAAATGAGGAAATCTGGCAACAAGGTGATTATTTCAGAACAAGCTGAATTCACTTCTCCCCTAAAGCTGCAGCTCAAGAACTGATAGCCACTTGGTGATGGGGGCCTCTGAAAGGAGGTGGTGGTGAATGTGCCACTCAGTCAGGACCCTAAGGGAGAGAAGACGAGCCCTTGTGTGCTTCCCTTAGTGATAGAACTTTGTACACAGTAGTACACGTGTTAAGAGCTCACATCCGAGGATCAATACTACCAAGTGGAAGTCAGTCTGGAGCTGGACTTTCTTTTTTGTTTTGGGGGATTTTTTTTTTGGTACCAGGGATCACCTTGCACTTTCAAGGCAGGCAGTGGAACCACTGAGATAAATCCCTGGCGGGTTGGACTTTCAACAGCTGTTTCCACCGTCACTGACAGTGAGAGCAACGAACACTCACCTCCCACAGATGGGCCACGATGGGTGCGTCCGCCCAGGAGTGCTCTGCGTTCATACCTATCTTGCCGTTCTTGAAGACAATAAACGTGAGGGACTTGTCAAACCACCTGCAAGAAACAGATGTGATCTTGGAACTTCACTGTCCAACGAACAGGAATGGCCCGAAATGATCTGTTTCCCTCTGGATGGGCCAGGGGCTTTGCCACCCACCCTGCTGACAACTGGCCACATCTGTACAGCGCAACAGAAACCGGGGACACCGAGTCATTCGTTCCTCCCTATGCTGGACATGAAGATGAGTGTGTACGTTCTGGAGACCAGAGCAGCGCAGATTACTGAAGTTGAGGCAGCCAGAGAGAGAATCGAGGTTGTCCCAGCTGATACAACGACCCCAGCTCCAGAGGCCACAGTCCCTTGCCTGGAGGGGAAGCATTTCACCTTACAGTGAGTGAAGGGAGGCCCCTAGCGGACACCAGACCTGTGACCAAGAGCAAGGCTGAAGTCGACTCCAGGCCTAATCCCAGGCCTGGCCCTGTCTGCCACATTCTGCCTGTGACCAGGTAACCAGAGGCCACTACATCTCAGCATCTCCAAGGAGAGGTGATCGGGCACAGCAAAGAATCTCAGACGTGTGGGGCTCGAGCAGTGTGTGTGACAGTTTGGATGGAGGGAAGAAGGGAAAGTTATTTTTGTGCTAAGCTTGTTCTTCAGCATAAGCTCCCAGCTGTGGAAAGGAAAAGGTCATTACCTGTCATAACACTGGCCGTGCAGGAGGGACTTAGCATAACTGTCCAAGGATGCTTCTGGGTCTTCCTTTCTGTACCCTTGTTCAGTTTCATCTAGCGTCACGAAGAATGCTGCTTTTTCCACAGCATCCAGGGACTGCTTATTTTTCCCACGGGCAAAGTAGGCCTGACGACATTTGGCCCAGGGTATTCTGTGGAAATGATCAGACACAGTTAAAAACAGTGGCACCCATACCGGTTCATCATGGCATGTGATGTACGAAATAATACAACATAACCTTTATGAATTTTCAGAAAATATATATTTTTTTTGGTACTAGGGATTGAACCCAGAACCTTGGGCACGCTAGACAAGTGCTCTACCACTGAGCTCCATCCCCTGCCCTTTTAATTTTGAGACAGGGTCTTGCTATGTTGCCAAGGCTGACCTCAAATTTGCCATCTTCCTGCCTCAGCCTCCCCAGTAGCTGGGACTACAGGCAAGTACCATTGAGCCCGGCAGGAATTTCTTGAAGGAAAACGACATTCTGTGATTGATCCATCTGCCTGCTGTACTGCACTGTTCAACCTCATGGGCCTCATCCTATATTCACCCTAATGTTCCTTGAGTGGGGTACACAGCACAGTGTTATTATTATTATTTTTTTTTGGGGGGTACTGGGGATTGAACTCAGGTCCTTCTACTTGTGAGGCAGGCGGCGGAACCACTGAGCTAAATCCCTGGCCCTATCACAGCGTTGTTTTTATTCAAGAAACACTGAGTGAACAGAGGCCAGAATGCAGGCTGGCGCTGTGGACACAGCTGCGGCCAAGTGCAGCAGCAGGGAAGTACACGCCCCTTCCTTACCCTCCCTATCCTCCCGGGAGGCAGCCTAAACCAGTACTGGTAGCAGAAGTCACAGCCAGCACAGAGCCACTCTGCCCTGGAGACAACATCTATTCAGAGCCTTCTCCTTACACCAACTCACTGTATGCCCCACGCCAATCTTTCTTTCAGGTGAGGATACTGAGGCATAAGGAAATTGGGTCACAGCTATGTTGAGGCAGAGAGGGATTCAAACCCAGGCCACCTGGTCCCCAAGTCCAGGGTATACAAAACACGTGACACCTCTGAGACGAGGTCTTCCTTACTCTCCACATACAGAGGGATACAATCTCCACTCTCACCACCTCTCTGAAAGGCCCTGGGCTGTGGCTCCCTCCAGCTGCTCCTGGGTCCCTCCCTCAAGCCCCGCCCAGGCTCCTCCACCCCTGTGTACCCTTCCAGACCAGCCACTTGTTTCCCACCTCTTCTCTGGCTCAGAGATGGCTCGAGGTGCCAGCAAGTCCATACACGCCATGCCACAGTCCCCGACACAGGCCCCAGCCCAGAGGACAAAGGTGACCCAGCCAGGGCTGACCCGAATGCTGGCGCTGTCCTATTGAGAGAGGAGCTGGAGGTGCGTGTGTCTTAGGGCACCTAAAGAGCAAGGCGCTTGGGGGAAGGTGATCCTGGTCCCCCAGCCATGCCATCTCCCCAGCCTCCTCTCAGAAGTTCCCAGCCCTTCAGACAAGCACAGCAGAAACAGATGGGTCCTTCCCTAAGACACACTTCCTGACCCTGCCCTGTCCACGGTTGCTAAGCAACCCAGCTGCTTCTAACACAGCCTCTTTAACCCCTCCCACACAGCTCTTTCTGGTCTTCACTGCTCCAACTGCCAAACAGTCCTCCTGCTTCCTGGGACCCCACCTCCAACACTCCCTCCCTCTCTGACCACAGAAAACCTCTCCGTTCCTAGATCAGTGTCACCCCTGCTGGAACTGGCCCATACAGTGGCAGCTGGCAGCAACATCAAGCCAAAAGCTGTCCAGCACTGGGGACTCTCCTCAGCCTGGTGCTGCGTTGCTCCTGCCACGGCCCACTCTGGACACCCACTGACCTCCTGGCCCACCGACACTGTTTACAAGACATGGCCCACTGGTGGCCCTCCACCTAGTGCCAAGCCTTTCTGGCCTCTGCAGAGGGTCACCTGGCTCCCATCACCAACACAACTCAGCAGCGCCACCAGGGACGAGGGTGCCGTGGCAACACTGGGATATCTGACGATACTTGTGGTTGTCACGACGAGATGAAACAAAAGCCTTGTTCCACAAGACAGGGAAACAACCCTTCCGTATGCTGACATACACAGACCGTTCCTGGCTTCTAACTCCTATAGCTCATGGGAGTTATTTCCTGAATACCTAGGATAATAAGCGTGTCTTTTGTATTTCGGCCTCATGTCCTCTGCTGAAGCAGCTTTGGGACAGCTTGAGGGAAATGATAATGAAAAACAGTCCTTCCCTCTAGCTCCTGAAAGCAGAATCTCTACCTTTCTCTGGCCTTCTTTTGTCTTGCTCCTCCTACTCCTCAAGGCTAGACACAGAATTTTTCTACCTTTCTTTAAAAGTACTTAACTTTTGCTTTTTCTGTGGATCTTGAACCTGACTGGAATTCTTCTACCCAAGATCCATCAGATATCCTAATTCTCCCCGCCTTTCTGTCTTCGTGCTGGCCATAAGGAAATCCTTGAGCTCTTCTCAGAGGGGTCCTGCCCCAAAGCCTGGAGGAAAGCCCACTGCCCAGGCAGGACAAGAAGAATATGAACAGAGAGGCCTCGCTGGGTTCCCCACCTGGTCTGTTAGCATCAGATCAGACCCTTTCTGTCCAAACATATTTCTGTACATTTGCCCATGCAACGGGGTCTCCATAACACCTCCAAAGGACAGGGCCATGTGCCAGGAAGTGGCACATCTTGACTCCACTGAATTCCATGAGGTCCCTTCACCATCTCTCCATGGGGCCTTACATGTGCAGAGGAGACACAGTGCATGTGACCAAGAGAAATGAAGAACTGGGGTCCTGCACTAGGGATCCATGCAGACCTTGCCCTGCGTATCATTTTATCAGACTGCTTATTACTAACCTTTAAAATAACCTTTACACTAAACCTGTAGTTTTGTAACCAGCTATAGCAAATTTTGTTTTGTTTTTTGTGGCACTGGGGATTAAACCCAGGGCTTTTGGACCGAGCTACGTTCTTCCCAGTCCTTTTTTTAATTTTTGATTTTGAGACAGGGTTTTGCTAAGTTGCTGAGGTGCCCTGAACTTGAATTTGTTACTCCCCTGACTCAGCTTCCCAGTGTCTGGATTACAGGAGTGGACCATTGCATCCAGATCCCTCTAACAAATTAACGAAGCCTACAGAGGGCATCATGGAAATCTGCAGCAAATCACAAGTTCTGGAGGCTCTGATTTGCTCCTGGGTCTGAAGCGGGTGGTCTTGGGGACTGAGCCCACAACCCATGGAAACTGACACTAACTTCAGCCATCGACAAGCAGCTGCCTAGCTAGTGTCTGCTGCAAAGCTGCTTGCTTGCTGGTGTGGAGAATCGCTCCCCACACCTTTGGGGACCACAGAAAAGATCTGTGTTGAAAGCAGAAGGACAAATTGAGCTTGTTTTTCTTCCATATCCTGAAAGCCTACACTGGGGCCTTGGTTTAAGGTAATTCTGTTGCCTGCATTAATAAACTTCTTATAGCCTGCTCCCCACCCTGTTCTGTCACATATACCACATGTTCTGTGTCTCTCTGCACATGCATCTGCCTGTCATGTGCAGAGGTAACTACAGGATCCTGCCAGACCCAGCTGTTCTTGTGACCCTGGAGGGATGGGACCTTCTATCGTGGAACACAGGGCCACAGTGGCTGGGACCCACTCAGGTACTGCCTCAGTCACCCATAGGGACGGACTGTAACCCCCACGTCCACCTGGACATGTGCCAGTGCTGCCAGTGCCCCGCGCACCTGTCTCCCGCTGTGAGGGCAGCCAGTTTGGCCTCCCCGGCCTGCGGCTCCGACGGGTCCTCCAGGATCCACTGTATCTGCTGCTCCAGCTCTCGGGGCTTCAGCAGCCGCCCATTGTGGTACAGCCAGACCTTGAAGTAGCGCCCCCTATGGAATACGACAATGTGCCGGCTGTCCTTGAGGTGCTGGATGGTGTCTGAGGTGGACATGCAGCGGGGACACAAAATCCAGAGGAACAAGGTCAGCGTGAGAGGACTGCACCCCACCTCCACATGACTTATGATTCCTAAAGCTGCATTATTCCACTCAGTTTAATGAGCCCATTTCCCAAGGCTTCTTAAAGCACGAAACAGAAGAGAATAGAGCTCTGCACTCGGCCAGGCCTGGCCTCCAGGAGCAGTATGGACACTCACTGGATTGATTGATGACTTAGGGCAATTCACTGCCCTCTCTAAGCCTGGGATCACACCTGTGATGCCAGCTGCTCAGGAGGCTGAGGGAGGAGGATTTTAAATTAGAGCCCAGCCTGTCTGGGCAACTTAACAAGACTTTCAAAGTAAAAAAAAAAAAAAAAAAAAAAAAAAAAAAAAAAAAAATTGTAAAAGAGGCTGAGGTTGTAGCTCAGCACTACCTGGATTTGAACCCCAGTATTACAAATAAGTAGGTAGACAGGCAGGCAGAAAGACACATGGGAAGGACAAGTACTATAAGGAGATAAAAAGCATGTGACAGTGGCCCAGCCTTACCCGGGGATGACACAGTCCTGCCACCACCATGAAGGAAGTGACATTTAAGGATCTAGATAGAGCCTATCTATATCCCATCCACACTCCATCCCAAGTTTAAAAACTACTTCCAGCACACCGGGATGGAGAAGGACCTCCTTCACCTGCTGAAGGGCTCCTACCAGAAACATGGAGCAGACGTACATGTGACACTTTCACTTGAAGGCCAGAGATCAAAGAATGTGTGTGTGGTCACTTATTTCCCTTGGACTACCCAAGGCCCTGGCTGGGGCAAGAAAACACAAGAAAAGAAACCAAAGATAAAGGAGCGAGAAAGGAAACATCAGAGCTACTGTGTGCAGCTATGATTAATCATGGCACATCCAAGAAAATCTACTGCTTAAATTAGCAAGAGTACAAATAAGGAAAAATTGTATACCCCACTGCAGAGGCAGAATTGTGCAGGCTGTGTACCCAAAATTGTGGCTGAAGTCATAACCTTCAGTATCGAAGAAAGTGACCTTATTTGATAGGTTTTTATGAGGTCACTAAGGTGGGCCTTAAGCCCATGTCAACGGTATCCTTATAGTGAGAGATCAGCACACAACATACACACAGGATGACCATGTAAGGACACACAGGGAAGAGAAGGCACTACCTGAAGACCAAGGACAAAGGCCTCCACAGGGACCACCTGTGACATCTGGATCTCAGACTTCCAGCCTCCAGGACTCTGAGAAAAATTCCTGTCACTCAAGCTGCCTGGTCTGTGCTATTTGTTACATAGCCCAGGAACCTCAGGCACAGTCAGTAAGTGCTAACTTGAAAATGTACTTGAACAACAAAACAATCAGGCCCTAGCAGTATTTCTCACAGATAACTACAAGACTCTTCTGGGAAAGATGATTTTATTGAAATCATTAAAATAAACAGAAAAAGGATCAGAGGAGCAGAAGTAGACAGCTGGGTTTAGTCCTGAGACAACAGCAATTCTATTCTTCCAATCTCTGGATTTCCAACAGGGATGTGATGGACCTGACAGCTGATCCTAAAGCACACAGAGAAGTGCAGAGAGGCTTCATCTTAGCAAATACCACAATTTAAACAGTTTGTACTGGGACATAATGACTAAGGGAAGGGAAAAAGAAAACTTGAAATAAAAAAGAGCCTCCAGGCAGCCCCATGCATGCCTGAAACCTGTGTTCACCATGTGAGGGGACAAACTGTTCCTCTTTCCCTGGGACTTGGGCTGGGGCCATCCATGTGCAAAAGATGAAACCCAATCTGTAACTCACACTAAATGTAAAAATCAACTGATCTATAAACAAAGCAAAAGTTAAATGCTGTTAAAGAAAAATAATTTCTCAAACAGGACACAAAAACCCACAGGAAGTGATTGTTAAATCTGATGTTAACCCCAAATTTTAATATCAATGTCCATTACTATTGAAAACTGAGGCAGAGAGGCACATGAAATGATTATGACATCTGGTGTACTAGGGCCACATATCTGTAGCCCCGAGGAGTTGCTAAGGGCTGAGGATCTAGGATGCACAAAGACTTGCCACAAAGTATTAAAAGAAAGATGCTATGTCACCCACTTTTTTTTTTTTTTTTTTTTT